ATTTAGATCATACTTATTTTCTTATTATATCCTTAATAACATTATATAGAATAACATTTTAAAGTTTCGTTAAATTTAATTAAAATTGACATTATAATCATCTAAACTCTACATTTTCATTTTTAGCTGACTCAACTTGATACTATGCTCTCAGTTCACAGTAGTAAAGGAATAGGATAAGCTACTACTGTTTTAATTACTAACAACATAAACATTTTTTTTGCTAAACTTTTTATAACCCATAATACAAGGCCATCTAGTATCTACTGGCTGAATGTTGAACACAATGACCTTAATTTAAAAACAGTTTAGATTACCCTGCCTATGCTGTCAGCACTCCGGAGGATGAGGCCGAAGAATCCAGAGTTTGAGGCCAGCTTTTGCTGAAGACTTGTATCACCAGAACAAAACGAAGCCTGTTTGTCCAGATGAAATACAACTTATTTATTTACTATGTATCTACAAGTTAATTTTAGATGGTTATACAAATATCTTTAATATGCATTCTCATGTAGTCAGAGATTTAGTTTTAAGTAAATATTAACCCCGGTCTGGTTTCCCACAATTCACCACACACCATGGGTAATACCAGATAGCATGATAAAATTTATCTGCTTGTCCAAATAAATAAATCCCAAACATTTCTGGGACACAAAACTATGACAGAAATCTGTTACTTCCATTGCTTATTAGCACTACTTAACTTTCTATGGCAGTGATTATTATTATTAAAGGAGGAATAACATTATTAATGAGATGAAGAAGGTCTCACGTCTCAGCCTGGCCTTGAACTTAATAAGCAGCTGATGATGACCTTGGATTTCTGAGCCTCCTGCCTCCACTTCCCAAGTGCTCAGATCAGTGGAATATACAGCTGCTTGTAGTTCCAGGCCATACTGGAGATATAACCAGAGCTTCATGCACAGTTGGCAAGCACTCTACCAATGGAGTTGTATATCCCAAAGCCCAAAAAGCAAATTTTCAGTCCTATATAATTGATAAAGACAGAAAAGATGAATTTAAAGAGTGGAAACCTGGCCAAGCATGGTAGTGCACTTGGGAGGCAGAGAATCAGGAAGACCTCTATTAGGCCAGCCTGGTTTACATATTGAGTTCCAACTAGAGCTACATAGTGAGACTTTGTCTCAAAAGGAAAAAATGTAAACAATTGGAAAAGTTTCTGAGCAAATCATCAGAATTCACTCAACTTAAAATAAAATCTGAGCTCTCTTCACTTGATTCATGTATCTTTTTATTCTAAACTTGTGCATAGAAGTAATTCAAAAAAAATAAATAAATAAAAATAAAAAAAAGTAATTCAAATGCATAAGCATGTAAATATTTAAGTAGATGTAATTCAAAACTCTAATTTCAAACTGTAATTGAAAGAATCAAAACTGAAATCTCACAACATTAATTTTTTCTTTGTTTTGTTTGGGTTTTTGTTTTTGTTTTGATACAGTATTTTTCTGTGTAGCTCTGACTGTCCTGAAACTATATAGGTCAGGCTGGCCTCAAACTCAGAGATCCACAAACATCTCTGCCTGTTAAGTGCTGGGATTCAAGGCATGCTTATGCTGTGTCACCCACCATGCCTAGCTCCACTACCAAAAAGGGAAGGAAGGGAGGGAGGGGAAAGGAAAGGAAAAGGAAAAGGAAAAAGGAAAAAGTGGCTTTTTGAGACAGGGTCTCACTACAGAGCCCTAGCCATCCTGTAAGTCACTATGTAGACCAGGCTGGCCTGAAACTCACAGAGATCCACCTATTTCTGCCTCCGAGTGCTGAGATTAAAGGCATGCCCCACATCCGGCATGATAGCAGGAGTGGGCTAGTGGCAGAGAATGCCTGAAGCACAAGGCCTTGGTTTGATGCTCAATGCTGGAACTGGGTATGGGTGCAGAAGAAGAGGAAATAAGGAGAGAGAGACAATAGATTGTGTGTTTTAAAAGCCAGAGTAACAAGAAAATATAAATCAGTTACCATGAGAAGAGCAACACAAAGATCAAAAACACATACATACATGACATTAACTACATAAATCATTTTGAAAGTAACTTGGGAGGATGTAAGCAATGTCACACCGAAGAATATACAAGTAGAGTTTCTTTAGAATGTGCAAACCAATTGCCTTTATAAGAAAAGGGTTAATTCATATGAGTATCCTAAGGTTCCAAATTCTTATGATATATAAGTACATGTACAAAATGTCATAATAAAACTCATCATTATATATAATTACTCAATATTAAATATAATTAATATAAGCTAAAAAACATTTTAATTCTGGATTCTTTAAGCAGTTCAAAATATACATACTTGTCTTTTAGGTGGATTTTGGTTTGACCCACTTACCTTGCATATCCAGAAAAGATGAGTCATAGGTTGTTGGGAAATACAGTAGAAGAGAAAACATGGCACATATAGAAAGAATAGCATGAAGTCTTGGGACAGCCTTTCGCTGGGACAGGAAGCGTTCGGTGTACTGGAGTATGGGTTTAATTTTTCCCAGAGAAGAAAATGCATTAAAACAATCATTTGGGGCTGGAGAGATGGCTCAGTGGTTAAGAGCACTTGGGTCCTCTTACAGAAGACCCAGGTTTGACTCTTAGCATCCACATGGCAACTCATAACTGTCTGAAACTCCAGTCCCAGAGGACCTGGTGCTCTCTTCTGGCCTTCTCAGTCACCAGGGATACACATGGTGAAGAGACATACATTCATGCAAAACCACCCATACATATAAAATAAATATTTTTTAAATTCCAATTAAATTTAAGACATTTAATTTTCTTTTCACTTTTGTTTTTATGAATTCTCTGTATATTTTAAATGTTCTATGCAGCAAGTAACATTTTTTGCTAACACTTTCTCCAGTGCCATCTTATCTCAGGATTTTCCCCTGAGGTAGAACAGCTTTTCCAAACCAATTGACCTTGTGCTGGAGAGAAGAGCCCAGGCCTCACACACACCACACCCCTGGCTTCCTCCATTAGACCAGGATCTGTATTCCTGGCAGAGTCTCTGCAGGGGTAGCTATTTATTTGGTGCTGAAACAATAAATCTTTCCCTGTTTAAAGTTTAAAAATTTTAAGTTCTATTTCTAAAGTCTGCCTATTTTCCTGTTCCTAGTGAAAATAATATTTGGGGGATAAACAGTAAACAGAAGCTAAGAATGCAGCTCAGTGAGAGAGCACTTGTCTAAGATGTACAAGGTCCGAGAGGGATCCTTAGGACTACGAGAAAAACAAGAACAGGAAAAGAAACTAAAACAATAAGACCAATTTCTAACAAAGATCTTTCAACTATTAAAAATATGGTTTTGGGCTAGGGAGATAGCTCAGTGGGAAAAGCACTTGCTGTGCAGACAGAGGCCCTGAGTTCCCAGCACTCGTGGGAAAGCTGGGCATGGTGCTGCACATCTGTCACCTCAACAGTCACTGAGATGAGTGAGTTCCAGGGGCTCACTGGCCAGAAAGTTTTGACGAAATGGTGAGCCCCAGATGAGACCTTGACTCAAAACAAAAGGTGAAGAAGCTGTACAAGAAGACATCCCATGTCAGCCTCTCGTTTTTATACTTGCATGTGTAGGCAAGTATGCCTGCATACATATGTGCAGACATATACATAGATACACAGAACAATTTTAATGTAACTATTTATACATGGGAGAAATTAAGTAAATATATTTTTATTTCCTCAGTTTGAGTACTCATATCACAATTAAGATTATGAGGGTGATTCAAAACAATGCATAGAAAAATATCCAGAAATTCTAGTCAAACTATTCCAGAAGCCAAAGAATACTAACAACTATTTATATTCTTAAATATTTATATATAAAAGCATCAAAACTCACACAGTTTTACTTACTAAGAAATATGATTAATTACAATGGATTTTATATGTATATAAAGGTATAATATAAATATTCTCTAATTGACGTATAGAAATTATTCTTGTGGGACAAACAAACAAACCAAGTAGCCGTCTAGTTTTCCCTGGACCTCCTGATTCATCCCCCAGCCCTGCATCTTACAAACAGTGAGCTTACATGCCCCGTGTGGAAGCTGGTGCCAGGAGCTAGGAGTCATGGCTCAGAAGCTCCTTCAAGGAGGGTTTAACGAGCATGGAGATTCTCCAGCTAATCTACGCTTCTTTGTCTCATCCCAGTGTTTGCTCATCTTTTTCTCCCCAGTTTGACCTATTCTTTTCTTTTGTCTTCACACAAGCCCCATGGTTTGACCATTGAACTTATTCCCACCTCAAAGACTAAAATCTGAGGTGCCTCTCGACCGGATCACTGAGAGAACTAATGCAGTCGCCAGCATCCTTCAACACATTCTCTCGAGCTTCAACATTATTTTAGTTTTCATTTCACTATGTCACATTTTGTAGTGATGATTTAAGGAAATTAACCCACAGCATCAACTTCCCTACTCCCTGTAGCTAGATCACTGCTGTCATGATAAGTCCTATGTAGTATCAGGCTTTGCCCGAGAAATGCCAAGATTACAGCCTTTTAGCTCACCCCTAAAACTTTAAGAAGTCTTAACATTCTTTCAGCAGTGATTACCAACCTTTCTCTGTCATAGCTCAAACAGAAAACAATAATGTGAACAGCCCACTAGGAAAATGGGCAAAGTTGCTCAAGGCTGGGTCTCAGGAGGTTCTAGCCTCCTAGGCCTGTCCAGCTGTCCAGGGACCAAGGGCTAAGGAGCTCTGCCCTTCTGGAATCTGGAATTGTCGTACAGAGGCACAAAAGCTGATAAGCTCTGGTTTTCAGTCCTGAAACATTCACTACACCGTCCCAGTGGACCAAAGAAACAAAGATGGAAACAAAAGGTCATAGGAATTGTCCTAACAATCATTTTGAACATGTACATTTAGCATCCTGTACAGGGTGTGAATAAATTACACCCATCTCGGACAGGTGTCATGATGGAATCTACCAAAAACTACAAAAGGAATTTAATTTAATATAGCAAGCAACTATCAACACAGGAGAAATTCTAAGAAACAAACAACAACACACCCTAACAGCTTCGTAAGAGCTTTCCATACACAAAAGAAGATAATAACATGTTTTAATAGCCAAGCCTTGAAGCTTTGGGGGTATTAGTACTTTTTAAAAGGAAAAAACTGAAAATGTAAAGTCTTTGCATTTTGACGCAGTATTTAACATCACACATCCCCAAGTACCCAAGCAGCAGCTCCCCTGCCTTCCTTTCTTTTCCTTTACTTTGTTTTCTAGGTCCCACAGTTCATTATCAAATTTGTTTATCAATTGTCCTTTGACACGGGAAAATGGGAAAATAATTAGTGCTTTAGTTAGAACAAAAAGCACAGAAGTAGTAATCCATTAAAATGCACAAGACTAAATGCCAATATATCTGTTTATTAGAGCTTCCAGTAAGTAAAGTCCAAATAAAGAGATCTATCCAACTGCTATAGTTTGAAAGTTAAATCTTTTTTGTATTTTTAGAAAAACTGCAGCACAAATTAACAGAGTAATGAAAACAAAATTACATTTGAAACACAATTTAGAAAACATATTTACCTCTTTCCGATAAATTGTAGTAAGCTATTGGCAACAAAAGCCAACAACAATGAAATACAGACATTTATAACATGAAGACAACAAAAACAGGAACTTTAAAACTTTTACTTGAGATGAATATAAACATGTAAATAGAAAACCATCCCTTTAACTTTTAACCATTTATCTTTCATATCTAGCAACAAAGACTTTTACTTTTCAGCTGCCAGTACAAACATCTTACTGCTTTCCCTTTCACATGTACTTTTTTTCTATGGCACACAGTTGTTAACACTGTACAGCTGATAATAAAGCATTCAGATGCCCAAGCCCACGCTGCTTCACTGTAACTAGGGAAGACTTAAAGCTAGCACTGTGTCTATGGAATCATAGCATACATACTGTATTGCCCCGTGCTAGTCTGATATATGCTAGTTGGTACTGCCATGGTAGCAATGTTAGGTGGTGTTCCTTCTTCCTCTGATTTTTCTTCTTCAATCTTGGGAATACCAGGCACATCAGAGGAAAGTTCATTCAGTATTTTTCTAAAATATAATTTAACAATATAAGCAATTAGGATATAAAAAGAAACAGGAAAGCTATAAATAATAGTTGTTTTTCTCTATAATTATTATACCTATTGGGGTAAAAACATTGCAGGAGGAAAGTTAGTTAACTCACCTATATGAGGGTCTTCGTGAAAGAATTTCTCTACGTTTATGAGAATCGATTACTTCTGAATCTGCAGAATCATCTGTCTCTGCAATTGTTGCTACCTATAATACAAGATTTTCTGAAACCCATCATAAAATATATGATCTTTATCCTCATTCAAAAAATGGTGATTAAGAGTCTGCTGGTAGAATTCAGCTTAGTGTTTGTGTGAAAAGGAAAGCAAAGAATGGTACAGATTGTAAATACTACATAAATTCAATGGAAAGAATATCTGGCATACCAAGTGAGGGTTCACAGGAAAGGGAAAACATCAAACACTTCAGACCCAAAACTCCAAACCTGAATTGTTTTTGTAAGTCCAGATAACACTGAGTGAGACCATAACAGAGGTGGAAAAACTACCCAATTTAGTGTTTTCTTCACATTACCACTGGTGTAAGCTGAATATAAAAGTCAGCGATTAGGTAGGCCCAAAGAAGAATGAATACTTATGTAGTAAACAAGTCAGTAAACTGGGCTTATGAAGAGAAGGATTTATATTATGAAGATTATGTTAGAGTTTAAAGATTCTGAAGTCAAAATAAACTTCTATTTAAAGGGCCAGTAAGATGGGCTCAGTGAATAAAAGCACTTGCTTCTAAGCCTGACAACCTGAGTTCAGCCCCAAGACCCACAGGGAGAACAAATGTCCACTGGTTGTCCTCTGGCCTCCAAGAAGACACTATGGAATGCACCCAAAGACACACCCACATAAAACAGGCTGATGGCTGGTGCGGGACAGATAGATAGGGAGACAGAGAGACAGATAAAACAAAAGCATCGGAGTTTTCAGCATGGTTTCATTTTTAAGCCAGGCAACAATACAATGATATAACAATGAAAGAAAATGAGAAAACTAAAATAATGAATCTCTAAACATGTCTTCTGTCAATTTATTAGTCTCTTAAGTCTACGGTTTAGGAGAGATGAGCTTATGAAACTTCCTGTTAGGATTACATGAGAATGTGATGTGCAGAAAAACTAAAAATATCAAGAACAAAAGCAAGACCATGTAGTTCCTGCTCTACAACATGGTGAATACAGTTAAGAACAGTGAGGGTCTGGGGGGAATGTGGCTTAGTGTAGAGTGCTTCCATTATGCATGAAGCCATGTGTTTGAGCCCCAACACCACATAAAACCTGGTGTGGTGGTGTATGACCATAAACCCAGTATTTGAAGGTAGAAACAGGAGCATATGAAATTCAAGGTCATCCTTAGAGACAATGAGTTTGAAGCCAGTTTGAGCTTCAAAAATCTTCTCTAGAAAAAGTGCCAAGAAGGAGGAAGAAAAGTATTGGTATATTTTTCTCTTGAAAATTCCAAGTTTGTGTAGAATTAGCAGATTTAGTATTTCCAGTATGAAAAAAAATGACATAAAGTAATATATATTTTAATTAGCCATCTAGTCATGCCACTATATATATATACATATATATATATATACTTCAAAACAAAATGTTGTTCAGAGCAAATTGATAAAAATTGCTTACCAAGTAAAAATATATTAAAAATTCATTTCTGACTTTAATAGAAGGAATATATAGTCTTCAATGCATATATACAGGTGTGTATTGTGTATACACTTACATACATATATTCATCCACAAATAAGACACTTCTGGTCATGGATACAATACACAAAAACACACACACAAAGAATATAACTTATTGAGGAAAAACATTGCCCTATATGGTGATGTATCACGTATCTTACATGGCAATACATTTCGCACAGCCGTCTGAAACTACTGCACTTCCCTCAGGTGCAGTGGTAGCCATTATTTTATCCAGTTTAGAAAAGATTAGACAACTCATGGCGCACGCCTTTAATCTCAACATTCGGGAGGCAGAGGCAGGTAGATATCTGTGAGTTTGAGGCCAGCCTGATCTACAGACCAAGTTCTAGGATAGAGAGGGCTACACAGAGAAACCCTGTCTCAAAAAAAAAAAAAAAAAAAAAAAACAGAAAAAAAGAGAAAGAAATAGAAAAGTTGACATGAATATGAACTAAATACATTAATTAAATACATTAATGAATGAAACCACTATTCATGTAACTAATATACAATAATAAAAACATTAAAAAGATTAAAGTTCCGGCAGAATGATTGTCACTTAAAACACAGAAATTCAAAGGTAAGATCTACGAGCATTTATCTCTACAAAGACAAGTGATTTCATTCACTAAAAACAACAGCAATAATGAAGTGTCAGAATATAAGGCAATGCTGCCTTCGAATACCAGTCAGGTAAAACTTGTACTTCCAATAAACCATAATGTAAGAAGTAACAAGGGAAAATGTTCTTACTTTATAATTTGGATCAGAAATTACAAATTCTTGGAATCAAAGGTCACAAAATTAAAGACAATGATAGAATTATTTTACACCCTGAGAACAAAGAATAGACAGGCTATTCTGAAAAGACAGCAAGCTTAGGAAGTATGCGTATTTATCGTATCATTGTACTGTGGTCGTCATGGCATTCTGTGATAAACTACACTCAGGCATGCAGGCAAAGGCAAAAGTAAGTATATATGCATGCCTGTTTTCCTCACAGACTTGAGGCTTGTCTGTCACCAGTTACGTTCAAATAACTCCTACACTTAAGGAATAATAACGTGACCTAAGAAAGAAACAGAAATCAGTTCAGTAGATAAGTATGCTATAAAGTGCATACATAATAACTTACATCTATTACTTTCAATAATTTAGGACCTGGGATCATTCTGGTAATAATAAGTAGTATAATATGTATCTGATCGCAATCCCTAGTGATGAGGAGCCCTGCTTTGAGACTGTGTACAACAGATGCTAGAGCATGGGCTTAGCATGAATGAAGATCTGGAGTTTAAGTCCCAGCACAACATAAATAAATAGTAATATCCTGACTTCTAAGGGTTGCATTCACTAAATGTAAAATAAATTTCTGGGCCAAGGGCAATGATGCACTCAGGAGACTGAGGCAGGAGGTCTGCTGGCTTACACAATGAGTTCAAAGCCAGCCAGAACTAGAGTTTTCATAGTACTATGTTTAGTACAATGTCTTCCAAGAACTCTCGAAATACCACTAGAGAGTTTTGCTAAATAAATATAAGTCTGGAAACAAGAAGTTAAAAGATAAAACTGCTAAACTAGCAATTATTTGTTGTGTAAATTAAGAGCAACAATGTACCACACATAAAAAGAAAATCTTCCAAGTATCCAAGAAGATGTCTTGAATGTAAAGTTACACAAAAGAGACAAGTGTGGTGGCACTTGCCTGTAGTCCTGTGATTTGAAAGGCTGAGGAGGAGGAGGAGAGCTCAAAGCTAGCCTTAGTTACAATGTGGGACCTTATCTCCAAAAGAATAAAATAAAGAAAAATGATGATAAATGAATTAAATAAAAGAAGAAATTTTAAAGCTCCAGAAAGTCAAAGACAGGTTGCCAAGGAAGGAAGCTAACCTGCAGAGTTTGTACTGGTGGTGACTGAATGACCGATGGATGTGGTGTCTGAATTACTCCCTGGACCTGCACAGTTTGACCTGAAGGTAACTGTACTAGAGTCACAGCTGGGGAGCCTCTTCCAGTGCCTGATCCAGCTACAGAAACCTGAAAAAATGACCATCATTGAGGATTAAAGCTGGACTTGCATGGCTTCTGTTTATTTTTAAGAGTTCCACTTGCTATCACAACCAGCCTACTTCTCTTGAATCCAAACACGTGGGGTACTTACCATTAGGAGGTAGTCACCGTCCTGGAACTGTCATTCTCTGATGTGACAGATACTAAAGAACCCATGCGCCTCACTTTTGGTGCCCATGCTTTGGCAGCTAAGAATGTTCCGAGCACAAAGTTCTAAAGCAGTTAAACTACCTCGATGCAACTCATGCTACTAGCAGGGATGCCCTCTTCAGGCCAAACTACAAACTCTTCCTCTTTAACTTCTTAAGAGAAACTGGAGGAAATTTAAACGGGAATTACTTTTGCATAAATGAAATGTTTTGTATATGGTAATTTTTTCACTATTTTAGATGCAAGCTGATATTCTGTCTTAATATTAGTTTAAGAAAAAGCAATTTTTACAGTCTATAACCACACAAATACAACCGTACACACACATGCGCGCACACAGAGGATACCAGAGAGCAAAGAAATTACAGGACCTTTCAAGCCTTAAGTATCTCTGCTCCAGAAACATCTCCTGTCTCAGGGTTGGTGTAGCCTCCTAACACTTGCCCTCTTCCGAACATGGATCAAGAGAGAACAAGAGCCATCCATCGGTTTTGAACTGAGAGAAGAGTTAATTTAGGTGTCTCCCACCTACTGAGCACTCGTAACAAACTTGCTTTGAACTGGACTTGAAATCTACTAAGATCCCTAGTGATCAACCTGCCATTTCAACCTGCCACAATAATTTTAGAAACTTTACTTCATTTTACTTAGGTTCACTACACATGGCTTATTCAAACCACTCAAAGATCTTGAAAATAAAATACACTGTGGGAGAATCTTGAGTAATAAAAGAACCTCAAGGTGTTATTTTTCATGGAAGCCTCTATGTGAGATCTCAATTTTTAAGAAACACCAAAGAGTCCCAAGCTACTTTACTAGTATATATTACTTTAAAAACTATTTTAAGCTGTGTTTGCAAGGTGGCAATGGTGGCACTCAGGAGGCTGAAGCAGGGGGATCATGATTTTGTGGCCAGGTTGGAGAACACAGAAAGACCTCTCTTTGGAAAAAACAAACTAGATTTATAACAAATAATTATGATTTACTTACATCATCATTTTCTAAGAAAGCAAATCGGTTCTCTAGTAATCCAGACAGATTAGTCTGGAATTATATATACTATATATATTCATTCAAGAATGGCCTCAAATTCATGATGCCCACCCCATTTCTGCCTCCCAAGCGCTGAGATTAGAAGCATGCTCCACCACACCTGGCTTTAATGACTTGTCTCAATCAAACAGATCTAGACTCTTATTTTTTGTTTGTGAGCCTAGCCTTTAATGGCTGAGCCATCTCTCCAGTCCCAGATCTAAACTCTAGTATACTTACACAATGAAGCTGCAGTGTGTTGCATTAGGTGATATGTGAAGAAAATCTGGACCTCACACAGTGGATTTTAAAGGGCAGGAGGATTACTATAGCTTTTCACAGGCGAGAAAGAATTTCTTCTTTGTCACAACTCTGAAACTCACAAGTGGTTGTTCCTGACTCTGAACCAATGACATTAACATCCATTGATCTGTATGTAGTTTTTGGATGGACCTTTAATCCACTCAAGATTATGCAACACCATGAAGTACTTCTAGGAAGGCACTGGCTTAGTGGGCGAGGCTAACGTGGAGCACAGCACCTTTCCTCAAAGAACATCCCACCTCATGACAGAGGACCTCAGGGCCATGCTGTACCACAGTTCTTACTAGTCCATTCAGAAACTCTCACTTCAGAGGAAGGGCAATGAAGAAAAAAGGCTAATCATGCTTCTTGATGCTAGTAACACGATTCAAGTAAAGACCAACAATTTGTCCTCCACCCATTGTTTTTGTCACACCAGTACAAATGCTAATAGAGAGTAAAAGGTAAATAATATTTCATTACTATACATAAGAGACAATACCTTTTATTATGCCAAGGTTCTGCAGTGCACAGAACACTTCGTGATAGCTACTCTATAATAATGTTGCGTTACAGTCTGCTGTTGTTTAAGTCAAACAGAGGCTGAGGCAGGCTGAGATTTCAACTCTGGTAAAGCTTCACAGTCAGGGCTCATACCCAGTAACACTGACGGTTTGTAGATCACTGACTAGCAAAATATAAAACATGCTTTTAACTTGTACAGAAAGGCAAAACAAAACCACTTTAACCCAAAGAGAAGACTTGGCTAGCATGCTGCCATAAGATGCTGCTGCACCCTCTGCAGGTGTCCTTAGCCCACACTTGCTTTTCTTCTTTCTTTTTCTTTTCTGAGATACGGGTCTCAAACTCTGGGCTTTACCAATTGACCTCCTCAGTAATTGAGACTAGAGCTGGTGGTGAAAAAAATTTAAAAATATGACAGTTGCTCATATTGAAGAACTTTACTCTGTAGAATTACAGTTCTATGACAAGTCCTACCAGTGCATCTCAATGATTTGCTTTTTTATTTTTAATTTTAAAAAAGTAAGATATTTGATGATAATGAAACTACAGCAAAGAAACTCAAGAATACTAGAAATATCCTCAAAAGTTGTGCTGTACACGAAGGATCTGCAATCTGTGTATTCACTTCCTGTGAAGAAACACTCCAGCTTCAACAGATAAGATCATTTGAAGAACTAAAGCAAGAATGGATCACACACAGATATATAGTTAGGTTACTATTGCTGTGAAGAAACACCATGAGCAAAGCAACTTGCTGAGGAAAGGGTTTATTTCAGCTTATACTTCCAGGTAGCAATACATCACTAAGGGAAGCTGTAGAGTCAGAGCAGAAATTCAAGCAGGAACCGGGAAGAAGGAACTGATGCAGAGGCCATGCAGGAATTCTGCTTACTGGATTACTCCTTATGGCTTGCTCAGTCTACTTTTTTATACACTCCAGGACAACCAGGGATAATACCATTCACAATGGGGTGGGCTCTCCCCCATCAATCACTAATTTAAAAACTCCACAGGCTGGTCTTCATTTTCTTAATTGAGGCTCACTCCACTCAGATGCTTTCAGCTTGTGGCAAGCTGACATAAAGATATGTGTATGTGTGTATGTATATGTACATGTCTATATTTATCTATAGAGAGAGGGGGGAGATCATGCTTTCAGTCACTCTATCTTTCAAGTATCAGTCTGAGGACTCCATATTAAACAACAGTTCTATCAGAAATGGTTTAGAAATACCTGATGCAGGCCAAGAGGACTCTGTGAGTAAAACCTCTTGCTGCCAAGACTTGACCTGTGTTTGATCCTGGAACAACACTGTGGAAGAAGAGAACTGACTCCCACAAGCTGTTTCTCTAACTTCCACATACACACCATGGTGCACATATATTCCTATCAATAATATAAAAATATGCCTTCTAAACAATACCTGGGCCAGACACAGTGATGCATGCCTTTTGTCCCAGCCTTCAGAAGACAAAGAAACACCTCTGTGAGTTTGAGGCTAGTCTGGTCTACATAAGTGAGACCCTGTCTCAGAAAAACAAAGCAAGGCAAAACTAATGAAGAAACATTTTGGAAATTCCCTCCAACACAGGCTGTACTAAAATTCTAGAGGTGAGTTAAGTGAATTCTTCAATGATAATTCTTTTATGCCCAAACTCTGGGCAGCCAAAAGCTTAAGAGACCATCATTAAACTTCTAAAATAAAAATAATGTACCTTTGACTTTAGATGTATCCTTTAAAGAAGAAAGCACTTAAATCTGCAAAACTGCCATTCTATATGCTCACTAGCTCTGAGGAAGCTGTTAAGTGATAAGCATTAAGCCTGTAACTATATTGATAGAGTTAATGGACTTAAACTTCATCATTATTACTCATTAAAAGCTCACATGACCTTGTACACCAGGTTACTGGCCCTTATATCCCCCTGCGTTCACTTCCCATGCTTTGACCCATCTATACCATCCTGAAACCACATGCTGGCCATTGCCTTCTGCCATAGGTCCACCTACAGTGTCTAGGAATTTTGCCTGCACAGCCCCCTGTAACATTTAAGAAACCCAGCTTCCCCTGCTTAGGCCCACCTATGCTGCTCAGATTCTTCCTCTATCAGTCCTACAGAAGACAGCAGACTTCTCAGACCTACTACTAAGTACTTCCTGAACACTGTAAATACCTCCACTGGAGGAAGACAATGGAAGGAAGGAAGGAAGGAAGGAAGGAAGGAAGGAAGGAAGGAAGGAAGGAATTCAACCGACTAACTACCCCAGATGCACAAGTCCCAGGGTAGAAACAAAAACAAAAACGACATCACGTCCCACAACTAAATCCCATAATAATAGAATCTAATGAAAGTGCCTGAAAGAACTTCTGAAGAGTTCAGAATTATTATAATCTTGTTCAAATAACTCATAGAAGACATGAACATACTCTGAGAACAAAAACAATGAGATGAATAAAGAAAGTCAATCCAAGATGTGAAAACAGAATTCAACAGAAACAGAACTGCTGAAGAAAAGTGAAATTGAAGTGATGTTGGAAATGCAAAACTCAATAAGCCAAGTATAAATCTCAGTGGAAAGCCTCACCAATGGAATGGACCATGGGAAAACAGAGTCAGGACTCAGAGGATAATGCATAGTAAATGGAAGGTCAATTGAGAAATTTGAAATAAATATGAAGAGAAAGTGGGAAGCTGTTATAGAAGGGTCTTCTTTCTATCTGTTGCTTTTTTTGTTTGAATAAAAAAACTGCCTTGGCCTTTGATAGGGCAGCCCTTAGATGGGCAGAGAATACAGAACTGAATTCTGGGAGGAAGAAAGCAGGGTCAGAGAGAGCTGCCATGGAGCCAGCCGCCAGGTCAGACATGCTGAATCTTTCCCAGTAAGCCACGACATTGTGGTGAAATACAGATTAATAGAAATGGGTTAAACAAGATGTGAGAGTTAGCCAATAAGA